TCTTGTACTCTTGATGTGTACTTTTAACTATGTATAAATAAAGTTTTTGAGGCAAGATACGTTACTGTAACTTGGGCAGGCTCTGTTAGCTGAACACAAAGCAAAAAGATTTGAAATGCAATTATTACAGTACTTGTAATATACAGTGTAAAAAACTAACTGCATGTGACAGTGTTTTATCCTCCTTAAATGCAGATTGTGTGATTCCTGCCCTGCGGGGAATTGCAGAGTCCCTAGTATGTGGCAGTTGGAGCTCCTTTCCGGACTGTGAGCACAAATTACCAGACAGGATTCCTCCTGCTGCAACTCTCTCTGCAAAGAGCTGTGTGTTTATTTCATGGGTTTGGGTGTTCTCCAGCAGCCCAGTTGGACCTATTACAGAGCAGCGGATGAGGCTGCCTTAAATTCAGAAGTCCTGGACGTTATGCACGGGCAAACTAATCCTAGAACGTGCACAACATGACAGGATTGCTGTCACCTGTCAGACAGTTGTATCAGTTCTGCAGTAACAGGGTACCTGCATGGTCGATAGGTTTGTAAAATGTTATATTAACTCTACAGTGTGGTAAAGCGAACTCGGAACACTCCAGAAGTGATTACAGTGTCAGTTTCTACTGTATGTGTGTTTGAGAAAACTGGGATGCAATCTGCTGGCCCTGCCTGTATAAAACACTTTCTAAATCAAGAGACCTAGCTTACGTGTCTCATCTGTACATCCTCCCTCTGCGAACTGTTCTTCATCTCATCCGCTGCTTGGTGTGCATCCCCTTTATTAGCCCTGTGCTTTCACATACCGAGTGAAAACCCCACGTTGTTCAGTTACACAGGTGCTGTGATGAATGTGAAGGCCTTGCACACTAAAGATAGGGGAGCCAGACATGTACCTGTTCACGCAGAGGCTCTTAGCTTGGCGAGAGGTAGTGGCACACAGCAGCTACTCCACATTTGGAGTTGTTCTTGTGTGCTACGTGTCAGAAACCTCTGCCTTAAATATCTGAAAACCCTACTGCCATATTAGAGCTGAACTGCTGGCATGGTCAGCTGTCTCTGACCTAACCATGAAGCTTATCTTCATTTCCTTTGGCACTTTGAGACTTTAAAACTTACCATTTAGTGTTGTACACCTAACGCCGGAACGTTACAGTGCTTTCCGGCACGCTCTACTCGTTGAGAAGAGGGAGATGTTCCCTTTGAAGAACTTTCTATGCTGAACATAGAGATGGCCTTGTGTTATAGGTACTGCCTTCGCTAGAATTGGTGTAACTGTGCAGCAGTAAAGTATCAGCTCACCGGGAGAGAGGTAGACTGGGATGCAGAGTTACTTGGTTTTTAACATCTCTCTTGGCGTGTGATTTAATTTGAAGTTCTTGCTAAACTAATGAATTAAAATACTAAACCACTTTATTCTTACCTCCAAATGGCCGATAGCAAGTGAGAATCTTTGAATCCCGATGCTGGTTGGGTGTTCTTTTGTTCTGATAATGTTCAGCTTGCAGGCTGCTCTCTGTCCAAACTTTCACCCTGATTTCTCCCTTTTTGGGGGATGGTGAGAGGGAAGGGAGGTACAGGTATTTAGAAAAAAAACCAAACCACCCTGAACTGAAATAAGGAGGTTTCTTCTATAATGCTATAGATAACTGTCACATCCGAGAACAGAATATTCTATGCATGTAACTGCTTTCCAGTTTTTTCACTTTTCCTTATCTGTCCCTTTTTTCAATTTTTACAGTTTGTAAATGGTCACAGATCAGTCCTGTCTCTGCATACAGGTGCAGGGCCAGGAACCTGGGTCTTGTTCTGTAGGAAACTTTTCAACTTATACTCACTGGCACTTTGCTATAAATGGCGTGTGGAAGTACCTACGCTCAGAGAAAGAGCAGAGCTTTCTTTCCATCTCTTTCCAGTGGTGAAGATTGGAATCAAATGCAGTCTCAGGAAGAAGATGTGGCAATAACTGAACAGGACCTTGAACTCATTAAAGAAAGAGAAACAGCAATCAGGCAATTAGAGGTGACCAGTTGACCCTGCACAGTTAACAGTGCTGGGAGATAAACCAAAGAAGTCGTGCGGTGCTAACTAATGGGATGGGCTGAGGAGATCTGCAGGTGGAGGAACGGAGTTCCTTGTAGAGAGGATTGATGCCAAGATCAATCTTCCTGCTCCTGTTGCAGGAAACTATGTATATTTTTCTTCAGTGTTGACTGGTGGTCCTTCAGAGATGGCAGGAGCAACACATGTTACGATGTTCATCTCAGTTCCATACTGTGCTAATTGCTAGAGTGATGAAACACATTGTCAGTGGCAGGAGTATTGTAGGCTCCTGTGTTAACCCCCAGTTCCACAGATCGTAGCGTCAAGTCACCTCAGTCAGTGAACGATGGTAGCTATTCTGACTCCCTGAGCAATGGTCAGCAGAGGTACTAAGAATAAGGATTAGAAAAATTGTAACCGGTGTTTGTGGTAACATGTCAAACTGTTGTCTTCAGGCAGACATTTTGGATGTCAACCAGATATTTAAGGATTTAGCCATGATGATTCATGACCAAGGAGATATGATTGGTAAGTGTGTTTGGATAATAGAAAGTTTCTTTTTAGTTTAGTTACATATTTTGCCTCCATAGATTAAACTTTCCAGGATTTTGTGTAAAAAGTTTTGTATTTCTGATACTTTTCTTTAAACGCTGAAGCTCTGAACTATTGTACAATGAGTTCTCTTATTTTTTCTATAGATAGCATAGAGGCAAATGTGGAAAGTGCAGAAGTCCATGTGGAAAGAGCCAGTGAGCAGTTACAGAGAGCTGCCTATTATCAGGTAAATTCTGTATGCGTGCGTTATTGTCAGTGTACAGTTGAGCAATAATGGAACAGGCATAACAAGACACATAGCAAGGACTGCAGCACACCAAACAAGTTATTCAAAACAGCTTGTGCAAGCAGGTGCTCATTCAGAATTGTGCTGCAAGGAATAGATAAAGTGCTTGAGTCAAAAACAGAGTATTGAAATCACCCTTCTACTTCAGAGATCTATAGTCAGTCTGTCCCTTCACGTAGATGTGCTCAGCAGGTTGAAGTGTTTGGCTGTCTGTGCTGTTCTCGGAGTTAGCAGAACAGTCAAACACAATTTCTTATGCTGTGTCCATCTTGTAAACATATCAGCCAAGACTCTGATGTGCTGAAATCCTTGCCCAGACTAGGGAAACTTCTGGTGACTGGGATTTGCAGCACCCTTCTGAGTTTGTGTCCCATAGCCTGTCCTCCCTCTCCCATCAAATCTCTTGCAGTGGTTCTCATTGCTGCTTAAATCTCCTTTGCACATGATATTCAATGTTTTGTGTAGGTTCCTTTCATTGTTATTGTCCATGTAGGTTCAAGCTCTGTGAAGGAGCAAGGGTTCTGCTTCAGTCAGTCCCATGCGGAGTTTCACTGCTGGGACTTCACGCTTCCACACAAGACAAAAAACTGGGACTCTCTCAAGCTGTTGGCGTGGGGAGGTACTAGAGGGCAATGAAACTGCAGTGCTGGTTAGCGCAAGGGAGGGACAGTAGCTTTTACCATCTGGCAGCATTTGGTAGTATTATCTCTGTCCATGGCTTCCTGTATAAAGCTTTGAGGTACGTTATAGATCTAAGTTTGGGAGCTATTGGACACGGATGTGTTTTTCTGGCTGGAGAAGGAAGCGGTTATATATAACTATCCTCCAATCCTTAGATACCAAGTTAAAAATACTTGGTGTCTATGGACAGACTGTAGTTTCCTACGATGAATAAAGTGATCAAAACTGTAAAATCCAAGTACAGTACCTGTACAGTAAATCATTCAAACTGTAGAAATGCAATACTATTTCCACACCAGCTCCAAGAAGCCAAGTTGTATTGGAGAATGGCTTAGCAGTTTTATTAGTCTTACATGGAAAATCTAAATAGGTGGAGATGTTTGGCTTTCCTTTGAAGCCATGTTGTTGTCCGTTAGGATGAAAAGCATGTGGTAGCTGTTGTCAAGTTCTCTTTTTGCAGCCAACTTGAAGTAAAGCTTGCATTTTCCTTAAGAGAATGAAAACTTGTCACATTTTGACTTAACGGCATCTCCTAGACCACTGTGCTCCTAAAACTAAAAACACTTAGCTGTAGGATCGTGCAGTTTAAGGAACATGGAAAAACATTCAGACTACACTGGTTACTTCTCTTGAATAATTACGGGTATTGAGTGCTCTAGTTCGCCAAAGTTAGCAACATTAACTGGTAGACTTGCTTTTTCCTCTTGTCATCTGTTCCTGGTGTCAGTGGCTTTGTTTTTTTCTTCTTTTATTAGAAGAAGTCCCGTAAGAAGATCTGTATCCTGATTCTTGGTCTTGCTGTGGCTTCTATAATCATAGGATTCATTATCTGGCAGGCAACATAATGAAGTCTTCACGTGGAACCTAGTCTCACTGCTGAGATTTTTTTTTTCCCCTCGGAGCGAACAGGCTGACTGGTCTCGGAAACGAATTGACCACCCTGAAAGAGCACAAGCTGGAACTACTTCTAGTAATAGATATTAGCAACTAATGTGCAGATAACTAGTATTTGGAATTAGTGAACCATGGAGACAGTATTTATCAGTTTATATACAAATTATATTGTTTTATGTAACTAAAATCTTGTGGTTTTGCTTTCTGTAATGTATTATTCCCTGTCCCAACTGTATGCTGAAGTGTGATCAATAATTGGAGATGTCTTGTTTTTGACAAGTGGCACAACTTTAACATTTTATATGTATAAGTAACTTTGTTGGACTGGAATAAGAATGACATTCAAAGAGGGCACAACACCAATTCACATTACCTTAATCCAGCAGTTTCTAAAGTCTCCAGTATCTGCCCCATGGTTTTATTAGTCTCCAGGTGGCTGTGGCTCTAGATCCTCTTGAAGAGAAAGATGTTGTTACAGACTTGAAAGGCAAGGAGAAGTGTGCGTGGATGGTAGCTGGAACCACTGCGTGCTGGTCAGGTTAGCCCTGGGACTCGTAACTGTGGTGTTCAATTTTTTGAGCGTGGTGGGGATTGTTTTTTTCCAAAATGCATCACTTGAGGAGGACAGGATGTTCTTTGACTTATAATCTAACAATGCAACTTCCTTAGAGAAACTAGCTGGTGGTTTATTATTGGACAAATAAATCTCTTCTAATGCTGACTCTCAAGCACTAGAAATACAAAGTTTAGCTGCTCGCTTCTAATTGCCTTTAGAAGCTCCCAGGGAGAAAATCGGGCAAAGATGAAGAAGTGGGCACTTACGTTTACAAGCTAGCAAGACAGATGAGTATTAGCTGACATCTTGCTTCTGAAGAAGGATTCTTAAAGCCCACTTGTAGTCTACTAGTAAATATTATGTGTGGCTTGTGAACACCTGGTATCTTCCATTCTTTGAAACAGAAAGTGCAGAAACTGGCTGAGTGAAGTGCTAAAGATTGCTGGTTCCAGCTGCCTGGCCAGTGGAGCTGGGTGGCACATGGCAGCCACTCCCCACTTCGATGTAGCTCTGAACTGACATGCACTGAGGGAACAGTAATCTGTCCAAAGCCCAAGAGCGCGTGGTAAATGCAGCATACTGACCCATTTTGTATTTAATCCTTATTCCATGTCTCCTGTATAATAAAGTCAATGTGAAGGCTGGGAAGGGAGCGTGTTCTCCCAGTTGCACAGTGGTTTGCACTATTGCGCCATCATTCCATCTTATAACCATCAATAAACACTTTTAAAAGCCTACCTCAGAGCTGCTTTCTCTTGCAGTTTAGGCATTGGCACGGGTGTGTTTGCATTTCCCTCTGCAAGCAGAGAAGACTGCAGCAGCAGCAGTGTTTCCTCCAGCTGTAGTTCTGTGGTCCCTGATTCTTAAGACTGAAACTAGCTGGAAGCACTGAGTGACTTTCACATGGACAGAACTCCTGTGCAGAGCCCTGATCCCAGGAAAATGGGTCTGATGCCCCACACCAGCGTTCGGTCAACTTTGACTGTTTGCCTGTTGCTAGAACTTCAAGTCTTTGCTGAGCCTGGATGGTAAAATCTGGGACGGGAACTTCTATGTTGTCCTGCTCCTTAATTAAAACATTCCTTCTAAAGGGCACAGCCTGCTGCGGGGATGTCACCCCTGCGTCTGGAAATGAAGGCACCTGCCTTCTCCCCATGCTTGGAACGGGGCCTGGGTGCGTTATTTGTAGGATTCATCCTTACTCCAGCCTGTGTTGGTCCTCTGGAAACCGGAATTGAGAACACCCGTCCAGCTGGCTGGACTCAGGGTTGCTCCGCTCGCTTGACCCCGTTCTCTTTCTCCCCATCCCTGAGCTTCGCCGTGGCACCGCGCAGGGGCTGTTGCGAAGCGCTGAGCGGTGCTCCTGAGCGCGGGACCCCCCCTCCGCAGCGCTCGCCCTTCCTGGCTCTCGGATGAGTTTTCTGCCGCTCTGGGAGATGCTGC